TCTTCTTCTTCTTCTTCTTCTTCTTCTTCTTCTTCTTCTTCTTCTTCCTCTTCCTCTTCCTCTTCCTCTCCTCTCCTTCTCCTTCTCCTTCTCCATCTCCCTCCTCCTTCCTCCTTCCTCCTCCTCCTCCTTCTTCTTCCTTCTTCTTTTTCTTCCTTCTTCTCCTCTTCCTCCTCTTCCTCCTCTTCTTCTTTTTGGATTTTCAAGACAGGGCTTCTCTGTAGTTTTGAGTGTGTCCTGACATTCACTTTGTAGACCAGGCCAGTCTCTACCTCCCAAGTGCTGGGATTAAAGGCCTGCGCCACTACCGCCTGGCAGATCTTGGCTTTCTAGCTGTTGGATTCTTCCACAGATAAAAGGACAACTGGCCATGCTCCCCACCACTGCAGAGCATGGTGAAATAGAACAACATTTCATGAGTGGGGAGTTCATACCTTCCCTGCTAAGTCCTACAGCTGCTCACTCCCAGAGCACAGAGTGGGAGCCGCTTCCACTGGGACTTAGAGGTAAAAGTAACCTGCAGCTCTGACCACAAGCTATCCACATGGAGGAGATGATTACAACCCGTGACATCTCCCACTTCTTGAGGTCCAGCCTGGTTCTAAGCCTCCTTCTATGACATGCCCCACTCAGAGGTAAGAAACTATTGAACATTAGCCTCAGTGGAATGGGAACAAAGCCAAGAAGAGAGGAGGGTCAGGCCAAGAGAAATGCTGAACAGCAGATGATTCCTGATGCTCCTGCCCTGCTTCAGTAGGATCTAGATGTGGAGTATCCAGCGATGACAGTTTTGGTGGGGTTTCCAATAGAGCTGGAAGGAGAAAGGAAGGACCGTGATGAATTGCTAAAGAAAAGGTGGAGAGTCAAACAAGAACTCAGAAAGCTCAAACTACCCCTGCATTGCCGATGGGAGTGAAAGCTGGTACAGCCCCTTTGGATATCAGCATGGCAATTTCTCAGAAAATTAGAAAATAACCCTCCTCAAGACCCAGCAATACCACTTTTGGGTATATATCCAAAGGATGAACAATTGTGCCACAAGGACATGTGCTCGACTATGTTCATAGCAGGTTCATAGCCAGAACCTGAAAACAACCTAAATGTCCCTCGACCGATAAGGATAAGGAAAATGTGGTACATTTACACAATGGAGTACTATACAGCAGAAAAAAATAACATCTTGAAATTTGCAGACAAATGGACGGACCTAGAAAATATCATTTTGAGTGAGGTAGCCCAGACCCAGAGAGACAATTATCACATGTACTCACTCACAAGTGATTTTTAAACATAAAGCAAAGAAAACCAGCCCACAAATCACAATCCCAGAGAACCTAGACAGCAATGAGGACCCTAAGAGAGACATACATGGATCTAATCTACATGGGAAATAGAAAAAGACAGGATCTCCTGAATAAATTGGAAGCATGGGGACCTTGGGAGAGGGTTGAAGTGGGGGGAGAGGCAGGGAGGGGAGCAGAGAAAAATGTAGAGCTCAATAAAAATCAATTAAAAAATGTAAAAAAAATAAAAAGAAAGAAAGCTTAAACTGTCAACCCAAAGAGTTACTGTTAGAAACCATGCAGGGCTTTGGTCATCTCCCCCAAATCCATTCCAGATTAGAAGATGACTCTAGACAAATTCAGTAAACCCAGAGATGCTTGGGAGGAAACTTCTCCTTCTTAAGGGGAAGTCACAGGCAGAGATGTCCCTCTTTCTCTGGATGTCATCACATCCATATGTGATACCTGGAACAGCAGCAGACACCTTGCTAGCAGCCAGCTGATGAAACAACTACCCAAGAGGACAGAGGGAAGAAGCACAAAGAACATGGGTCCCTGGTGAGGTCGTTAATCTAAGAAACACCCAAGCATGGCACCTCTCCAGCTAAGATCTCCCAAGCGTATGAGATTGTGGTGTATCCTTTATTTAAGTCCCTCTCCATCAGGTTTTCTGTTAATTGCAGCATAAAGTGCCTTAGTTGACAGAACACAAGCCAAAGGGAACCGGAACATTAAAGCCAGCGTGAACCTATAGCCAAGCTCAATATTTATCTACTAAGGGCTATTTTCAACTCACTCATGTAAGCCCTGGAGCAGCCCCCAGCAGCCTCCAGCCAGCTGAGCCTACAGGTGTGCTGTTCCCAGCTACAGCTGTCAGAGCTGAGGAACTGCAGAGCCAGACAGTCCATTACAAGAATCCATTCAAGAGCTTCCGAGAACACAAATGTCCAGGCCAGTTGGACACTTCCCATTCCCTCTGGGGACCCTCCCCTGGCCTCATTAGCCAAACTCCACAGCTGCCAGGCATAGTGCCTGACTCCAAACGCACTCAGTGCTCTATGGAGCTCCCTCTCAAATACTAAATCCCCTGAACAGCAGGGGCTCTGGGGCCCCAGTCCCCTGGGGAAACTCATTCCAAAACAGTAGGAAGGCGCATTTCCAGGCATTGCAACTCAGAATCCCTGCTTGCCATGCCAAGGGTTCTAGCAGAGGTCAGCAGGCTTTCTGACCTGCAATTTAAAGGCCTTCTCGGTTCTTAGACTATTTGTGGCTTTATATCTTCCAGCGAAATGGGCAGTCCAAAGGACATCGTGGTCAAATTCCTTACCCCTCACAGTTACACATGATACCAAGAGCGGGACAGCTCACCAGATACAATTCTTGGATCAATGGGGGCATAAACAGATGAGGGGTGCATTTGTGCCCATCACTGGCAACTGAAGCCAGGTTGGAGCACAGGTCCTCCCCAGTCATGGCCAGTGTGGTTTCTTCCCTTGGTTGGATCACAAGGTCAACACAGGAGTGCTGGGAACAAGAAGCTAAGGCTTAGCAATGAATAGTGTTGCTTCACAGTCATCTCCTGGACATGCAACTCCCTTTTCGTCTAACTTTTCAAACTATAAATCATGAGTCAGTGCTTCTGCAGCATGCTTTCTCAATAGCCAGCAGGAACTGATACAAGTCATGGGATGTCCTGATTTCAGAAAGAGGAAGAAGGTAATTGCCTGCGGATATAGAATCAAGGCTGTATGTAATCCCGAAACACAGATGGTGTGGGCACAGAACAAGTCAAGGGGCGTCCTGGTCTCAGCAGTCACACCTCTTTTAAGGACAGGTTCTAGGAGACATCAGAGTCTCAGAGTTAACTCCATTCTGATGTCTAGGTTCCTGGGAGCCAAGATCACATCCTTGGTAGTTTGGAACTGTATGCACCTAGAACTTACATACACCTGGGGGTTGTAATCATCTCATCCCAATTGAGAGGACACAAACCAAGCACAAACATAGCACTTTCCAGCAGGCTGCAGGCTAGACTCACGGCGGGGCGAGCATCACCATACACTTCCATCAGAATCTCACGGTAGCAGTCTGGACGTCAGGACTGTCCTAGTTATGTTTCTCTGTTGTTGTGATAAACACCACGACCAAAGCCAACTTATTGTAAACCAAGGGCTTATTTGGCTTGCACTTCCACAACACAGTACATTACCAGGGAAGTCAGAAAAGGAACTCAAAGCAGGAACCCAGACTCGGGAACTGATGCAGAGACCATGGAGGTACACCGTTCCCTCTCCATGATTCCAAATCATGCTGAATCTGATTTCTTATACACCCCTGGGTCACCTTCCTATGAATGGTACCATCCACAGTGGACTGGATGCTCCCACATCCCCAAATCAAGAAAATACCCTATAGACATGTTCATAGGCCAATCTAATAGAGGCACTTTCCCAATGAAGAGCCCCTATTTCCATGTGACTCTAGCTTGCGTCAGGTTGACTAAAAACTAACCAGCACCAGGATATCATGCAGCATCTCAGGGGCAGCTGATTTGACAGGTGCAGATCTAGGGAGGGGGCAAGGAAAGGAGGTGGGAGAAGGAATATAGGATAGGAAAGGAGAAAGGGAAAAAAAACATTGATGTGGGCTTCATATGGCACACAGTAGGTCTGCTGATAATGGCAGGTAAGAATCTCACCCAAACAACCTTTATAATACGGGGGAGAGTAGCACAAAGAAGGCTGTCAGCCCATCGTGCAATGATGATAAGTCAGCAACTTACGTCCTGACTCGGCGGACAGAATGATTTTGGCAATGGAATGTCTGTCACCCAGCGTGGAACCATAGGATCCTACAGGAGAGAGGACAGGAGAGTCCCTCCAAGGAGTCATCCCTCCCTGCTGTCCCCTCTCCCTACTCCCTGATTGCCGAGAGGAGCATTCCAAGGGGGCAGCGCCGTCTGTGGGATGTGCTGATGCAAAGGTGGAGAAGAGGCTGCTCTTCCAAGAACAGGACATCAGGGACTAAAGCCTAGGGGTCGGGGCTGCTGATTGACAGGGCTCTACAGCTGTGCTTTCCGGCTACAGCCAGTCAGTCCTTCTAGGACAGTGGCTCTCAACCTTCCTGATGCTGAGACCCTTTAACTCATGTTGCGCTGACCCCCAACCGTCGCATTCTTTTCATTGCTACTGTGTCACTGTAATTTTGCTACTGTTGATCTGTAATGTAAATATCTGATCCGCAGGATACCTCATCTGTGACCCCCAGAGCTGTTGTGACCCCCAGGCTGGACACCACAGTTTTGCCCTGTGTTGCTATACTAGAGATAGGACGCAAAGCCTTGCCCATGTTCTGCAAGGACTTATACTGAGCTCCACCTCCAGCCACCACCCCCCATTTCTCACCACACTGTGATTGTACACGTGATCATCTTTCAATGCACCTGAAGCTCTGGCAGTGGAGGGGCTCCACCCGCTTGACTCTCCAGGGCCCAGCACTACCGTGGGGCAGATGCTGAATACATATTATCAAGTGAATAAATATTACTACTTACCACAATTCTGCAATAATCTATTATAGTTTGAACCTAGAAGGCCCTTCTGAAACTTAGGTGTTGGTGGGTTTATTTCTTAGGTAGAGTAGAGCCTTTAGGGGAAGGATCTAGAGGAAGGAAGCTGGACCACTGGGCTCATGCTGTAGAAAGAGATAATGTGCTTCTGGTGTCTTCTAGTCTCTTCCCAACTACCATGAACTAAACAATTTCCTCTGCCATGTATTCCTGCCATGATATGTTGCCTCATGACGGGCGGCAAAACAATGTGCCTACATTATGTGGACAAAACCCTGCAACCTTCCCTCACTTTAAGCTGAATTATCTCAGGTATTTTGTGACAGAAAGCTGACTAATATATTCTCTACACTCATCAGCAGTAAGTAAACTATGACAGCTGCTTAGACTAGAAAGAGGAATGGCGGGACATCTGGAAAGATGGGGAAACTGAAAGGGAAAAAATCAAATGACCCCAAAATCATTCTCTTCACATTCAGTCACATCAGATTCTAACCAGATTTGGGGACACAGTGCATCATCATTCAATAGTAGCTTAGAGCACAGGAAAGAGGAGAGAGATGAGACCCTGTCACCAGGCAACAGACGTCACTGATACCTAAGTTCTTCCATGGAAAGTCAAAGACTATTTTAAAAATAAAAAAAAATTAAGAAATAATATCTCCCAGGGGCTGGAGAGATGGCTTAGTGGTTAGCATATCCCAGGTCCCGTTTCCTGCCTTGAGAGTGGATGACTTACAACCACCTGTAACTCTAGCTCCTGACAATCCACTCAGTGGGCACCTCTACCCACATGCACAGTGCCCACCCACAATAAAAAGAAAACATCAAAGTCACACCACAATAAAAGAAAGCATCCAAAAAGGGTCATTTGGAAAAGAGTGTGAGAGATGTAGAATCCTCACTGGTGTTGAGAATGGGGTCCCTCTACACATACTTAGATGCCTTGCATGCAAGGTGTGGTTTAGAGTGCAGTTGCCACAATTTGCAACATGGTGTTGAATATCTAATGCTGGCAAGAGCCTTTAACGCTATAGAAAAAGGAAGGATTATGTTGACTTTCTATGCCCAACCCAGTCCTAGCACTTAGTAGGCATTTAGTAACTATTTGTTGACTGACTAAGCCTATTCATCATTGGAACAACCTTGAGCGTTGGATAGGCAGTACCATCAGGAATGCCTGTGAGAGACAAGGACAGGGAAACAGGAGTCAGGAAAAATCAAGTCAGAAATGAATCCCATTAGGAAGTAGGTGGGGAGCAAAACAGTGGAACCAGGAAATTCTATAAGACACCACGGACTGGTAAATTCAGAGCACTGAATATCTCTGAGCTGTGAATGAAATTCTGCTTACCTAGACCATGCTAGTAAGTTTATATATGTTTGCGCTTTGCTTAGCTGACAGCACCGTGGCTGCCCATGCCAGCCCTCCCTGCGCAATTGTCCCAATCAACTGCCGGCTGTAATTAGTACTGAGAAGAGGTTGTTGGAGAGGAATCAGCCTGCATATTTTTCCTCCCATTGTGGCTGGCTCATTTGAATGATAATGGATTGCAGTGTGGGGTGTAACGCTGACTGCCTTAAATAATGAGGCAGTCTTAGACGCCCAGTACCTGAGCTGCCGGGTAGCTGGTAGTGGCCAGTTATAAAATAGGAACAACATCTTTGGGCAATAAAGGGTGAGCTCCAAGTGGCAGGAGACAGATGCTGGGAAAAACCCCCTCTGCAGGCACCATCAGGAGTTTCCAGCACCAAGGGCTTCGTTTCTTTTATTCATAGTCATTTTATCCAGCTGAGAGACCTTAAAGGCATCTGGTCAGCACATCCTGAGGTGATAAAAACACTGGGATAAGCCACCAAAAGAGGTGCTGAGTCTGCATCCCCAGAGGACCCTTAACACCCGCAGAGACAGCTTCCATTTTCTAGAATGCAGAGTGAACTTGGACCAAATTAGGGGACTGAAGCAGATGACAACTCAAGGCTCTGTCATTTGGGGGCTTTTCAAATATCGCTTTAGTTATGTTAATATGGTGTTTCTTATCAGGTGTGTGCGCTCGTGTGTGTGTGTGTGTGTGTGTGTGTGTGTGTGTGCGCGCGTGCATGCATGTGTGGTGTGGGTATGTGCATGCGTGTACGTGTGTGTGCATGTATGATGCAAGTGTGTGCACATGTGTGCACATGTGTGCGCGTGCATGGGTGTATGTGTGTGGGTGCACGTGTGTGTGCGCATGCATGTGTGTGTGCGCATGTGTGGTGTGGGTATGTGCATGTGTGTGCGTGTGTGCTCATGTGTGTGTGCATGCATGTTGTGCGTGTGTGTGTGTGCGTGTGTGTGTGTTTATGAACACTTGAAGCAGGCACTAGGGCTGGCATGGTAGGTGGTGAGAGCACAGGCGTTTATAAATCCAGGGGCCCAGGTCTGAAGTTTAATGTGTCATTTACCAGCTATGGGACAGTGTGGCTCATTTTGTCTGCTTGTAAAATGGAAAGATGGTGATAACCTCATTTATCTCATATGCAAAGCTGCTGTAAGGTCGGATTGTATGCATCAGCAGAAAGCACACACAGAGAGCCAGTGCCCGGTCAGTACTTGCTGCTCTCAGTATGTCTCTACGCAAGTGCGAGCATATACTCCAAATCAGGTTCCAATTTGTTGACAACAGTGTTTGCTCTGAAATTTGAGCACTCCAGGCATGACTGAGAGTAAACTAACGAGCTGGGTGACCTTGGCTGAGTCACTTCATTGAGCCTCTGTCTCTTCACATGTTAATTGGGAATGCCTAAGAGCAACTACTGCATAGCGTTGCTCTGAGAAATGAATTAAATATTATGCATCTAAAACAATACCTGGAAGGTTGGAGAGATGGCTCAGCAGTTTAAAACATGGCTACTCTTCCTAAGGACCTAGATTCAATTTCCAGTCCACATGGCAGCTCATAGCTGTAACTCCAGTTCCAGGGAATCTGAGACCTTCACACCGATGCACATAAAAAGAAAGCTAAATGAATTATTTTTTTAAAAAATAAGTAAATGAAACAGTACCTGTCATGGAGTACGTGTTCAACTCTTGGATGACTGCAATAGTTACAAAGACACCATCATGGTCATCATTATAACCTTCCATACAGCATTTGGCCTTAAGATACAAGCGATGGGATGCCACGCTGTACTCAATCAAGCCACTATCTGGTCATGTCTGCACGCTGGGATTCTCCCACTGGCAGCAAGTTGAAAGACAAGCTGGGAAAGCAGACTCTCTACAGCTATCAGAATGAACAAGACGGAGCATGGCACTCCCCACACCATCCTTAGACCCCCTAAGAACCTGCACAGAACTTATTTCTCTGTTTCTCTGCTCCGTCATCTCTGCCCTTGAGCTCCAGGGTCAACGCTTAACTTGAGAAAAGTGATCATCCCTCGATCCCGCCACATCTTTCAATCCAAGCTCCAGTGCAGACTGTTTAAACATGAAACCCACTGTATGTACTTCTACCAACACGGCACGCCAAGATTTTGCACAGCCTTTCTGAATAAGACATGATATCACACAGAGATAAATTATGACAGTCGTATGAGGTTGCAGGGAGAAAGTGGCAAGGTCAAGATGTTCTGAGTCTGCATCCACCCCGATAAAGGTATCTTGGGTACCACTCCCCTCTGAGCAACCTCTCAGGAAGCATCCTGTGGCAGCCTCTCCCTGCCTCTACCTCAGTGCCCACCCCTCCCCTTCTTTCTCTCTCCCTCTATGTCTAAGTGCTCTTTCTTGCAGGAGGTTTGGGTCCAGCCCACTCATTCCCCACCGGGCACCAGAAACCCACACCCCAGGGGAAGGACACACCTTCTAAACCATGCTCAGCCTTGTCAGGGATTCATGAGTGGCAAAGAGCGCGGAGCTGGAGCCCAGACCGTGCTCATCATCCTGTCATCAGGACAAAGGGAAGGAATCCCATTATGTCACCTTCCAAGGCGGGAGACAGCGACAATTTCCCCCCATAAATACTGTACTGACACTGTTATGATGTTTCTCAAGCACTTCTAATCAGTATGAAAGTGGAGAGGCGAGGGAAGCTCTTCAGCCTGAGAGCTGCCATTCATCTGGAACCATGGTCTCCTGTTGTTATTGAAATGACCTGGCTGGGAGCAGCTGCTGCAGCCAACCCACCAAGCATAAACACGTAGCCAGGGGCAGTGCTCTCTGCCCAAAGCCCCCTGCAGCTGAACACCACGGCTCAGGAGCATCCAGAGCCAGTTTTCACACTGCCACCTGTCCTTTCTCAGGGCCCTCTCTGCCCGTCCGCCTCCAAACCATAAAAAGGGCAAAGGGTTTCATTTCTCCAGAAGGTATTTTTTTTTTTTTCTAGTGTGAAAAACACAAGCTTCTCTTTCTTTACTTCCTCGCTGACAGCAGTGACGGGGTACGGTTTCCAGAGTGCTCCACGCTATTTGCTTAGAAATGGACTTTAGATTCAACTCTGCTTTCTCCCTGCAAATTATTTAATAATCACAGAGGGCAAGCAAGCACTTTGTAGGGAAGAAATCTGGCAGGTCCACTGAAGCCGTATGAGCAAACTGACCTAGGAATGGGACAAACTGGCCACGTGAGCTGCCTAGAAGCATGTTCTGAGGACTAGAGTCTTCTACATACCCATTGTGGGGCGGAGAGTAGAAAGCAATGTGAATACACTGCCAGAGGCGTGAGTACTCTTCCTTGGTAGGTGACAGACAAGCAAGAATGAGGCCCACGTGCTCATACAGGGGTCCCTTGCAGAGCCAGGGAAAGGTCACTGAAGGTTACTACCCCTGGGTGGTGTGGTCTTGTTATGACTGACTGTGTTTGGTTTTCCTTGTGGAGATGGTACTGAGTGTGGGAGGCACAGGGATGACAGAATCTCTAGTCTTTCTGAGCAGACCCTTGACAGGATTTTGCAGATCATTCTCGTGTCATTCAAATAAGCCACGGCCCCTTCCCCTCAGGCACTGGCATTGATTTTCTGATCTGATCACATGTGTTCAGTAAGGGCCACGGGGCTGATGGCTGCTCCTCTTTGAACATATTATAGCTGAGGCTTCTGAGGATACAGCCTTTGCTCAAGTGATGGACAGAGAGGAGGGACGAGGGAGGGAGGGGAGGGAAGAAGAGAGGCAGGGACAGAGAGAGAGAGGGAGGGAGGGAGGAAGGGAGGAAGGTAGGCAGAGAGAGATGGAGGGAGGGAAAGAGGGAGAAAGGAAGAAAAGAAGGGAGGCAGGGATGGAGGGAGGCAGGCAGGAGAGAGACAGAGTGTGTGTGTTAGGGTCCTGGTTGTGCCTCAAAGTCCAGATTAGGTCTACCCCTGAAAAAGTCAGCACCAGGCTAGGAAGCTGCCAGCTTCCCAACACTAGGCAAGCCTCCTTCCTAGCACTCCCTGTTCTGGGAAGCTGAAGCTGAGCCTGAGTCCCTGTGGTGCTGTCCAGCCTCCCTGCTAGAGCTCGCTGACACGTCCTTATGGTGACCCACTTTCCCTCTAAGTCACAAGGGCTCCAACTGGACTCACCCTCACGGGTCTCTTGGGCATAAGCGGATCATAATATTCATGAATTCCTCATCATAGCATTCGGACACCAAACAGTATCAGCTCCTGTTAGTGGCACTACTCTTAAGCTGGAAACACCCAACTTCTATGCACATGGTTGAGAAGCCATGTTTGAATTTCCTCATTCCCAGGGCCGTTTCTTTGTCCCATCTCCCACCCCTCCTTTCGCCAAGGTTCTCTAGTATTAAAATTATCAAACATCAAGGCAAGCCTAGACATTAGGGCCAGAGGGCCTGGGTTCAAATCCTAGATCTGTCCCTCACTAGTAGGTCACCTGGGGACAGGAGCTGCTGATTCCTCAGCTTCCTCATCTGTAAGAAGAGGGTGACACTGATCCACATCTCTTAGGAATGGCCTAGGAGGAACTGAGAGAATTCATAATAAATACTAAGACAATTAGACTAGTGCCCAGTGCCTCCACGGCTCAGCAAATCATACACATAATGACCCTCTAGGGATACTCATTGTTAAACACAGGTCCTTAGGGAACTAGTCAGTATTGCCAAATGGGTGAGTTCCAGGTTCAGTGAGAGATGCTGTCTCAAAAAATTAGGGGAGCACAATAGAAGAAGACATCACTAAATGTCAACTTCTGGCCGCTGCATGCACATGCATACATGTGTAAGTATGCACACACACACAAAATATGTATACATGTGTAGGTGCACACACACAGAGCAATGTATACATGTGTAAGTGTACACACACAGCAATGCATACATGTGTAAGTGCACACACACAGCACATGCATATATGTGTAAGTGCATGCACATGTACGTGAATACATGTGTAACTATACACACACAGCACATGAATACATGTGTAAGTATATACACACACACACATACTAAAACACTGATTCCTTTTTTTCGGTGGGGGCCAGTTTTCAAGAAAGGTTTCTCTGTGTATCCTTGGCTGTCCTGGAACTCACTTTGTAGACCAAGCTGTCCTCAAATCCACAGAGATCCACCTGCCTCTGCCTTCTTAAGTGTTGGGATTAAGGGCGTGTGTCACCATGCCCAACCTGATTTCCCTTTTAGCTATTTTTCTTGAAAGGAAAAAAAAAATCTTAGAGAGATCCCCTATCTCTTGTCCAAGGAAGCAGCTGGTACATTTTTTAAAGTAAGATTTTTATTTCCAGTAATGTTAGCAATCTGTTATTTCCCTACCTATAAACTAATCTAACAAAACATGGTCCATAAAGCTAAGTCTGAGCCACTCTGCCTGTACTGTTAAACTTCCCCATGGCAGAGAGTCCATCTGAAATGTTCGTCTGCCTGTGTGTCTATTTATTGGGAGATTAATTTTAAGGAATTGACTCGTGTGTTTCTGTAGGCTAGAGGTCCTGCAGTTAGAGACCCAGGCTAGACACCTAGGGAAGAGCAATGTTTATGTCCTAACCTGAAGACCATCTGTTGCCAGAGCACCCTCCTTTGAGGGGAAGTCAATCCTTTTATTCGAGATTTCAAGTTAGATGAGAATCTTCCACATCACGGAGAGGGACAGACAGACCTACTCGCAGTGCGCTGACTCAGATGTTATTCTTATAAAAATTACCCTAGAACCATCTCGAATAGAGTTTAGTCAAATACCTGGGTGCTACGGCCACACTGACACAAAATGAACCACTATCACATTCAAGACTAAACTACTCTTCAGACAGGATATTCTAGTGACCCTTCTTTCCATACATAACCCTGCTTTCTGTGCCACCTCTTAAAAAGAAAAAAAAAATCCAGACCTGGAAGTGGGGGCAGAGGTTGTGGCCATCTATGCCCTGTCCACTCTGCCTCCAAGGCTGAAGGCAGGCTGAGCTCCCAGGCCCTGCAGACTGCCAAGCAAGGACGGTCCAAGTACAGCTTGTACTCTTGACACTTTGTTTACGGTTGGGCTGCAGGTTCCACCCATGTTAACTCACAGGGTTTGCTTCACTTCTTACATATGTTAGTAAATAATCATCACCTTGAAGATGAACGGTACCATTGCTAAGGCAATGGCTCTTTAAGGCCTCATTTCCATACTGGTATATAACAAGCTACTGATGTTCGCTCCCAGGATCCTCCTTGAGGAGGACAAGAGGGGCCAGCGGGGCCCCAAATGAAGAGGTTTATGCTAAAGGTCAGAGGTGAGGGGAAGACTTCTGGTGAAGAAGAGGAGGTGAGTGGATGCAGGTTACAAACACCCAGGACAGAGGAGCAAAGTAGACCCCACAGGGGCCTGACGTCACCAGCAGACCAATCAGGGATGGGCAGTGAGATACTGAGTCCTTCTGCTCCAAGAATGTTCTAGCTATTTCGGCACGAACGGATGAGGAAAGAAAGGGCTGAGATCTGGGCCACCAAAGCCATGGGGAGAAAAGCTGGGAATGAAGCTCATCTCTTACCTAGGAACCACAAGACC